CCACCTCGGCCTCCCAAAGTGCTGGGATTATAGGCGTGAGCCACCCCACCCAGCCTATACAAGCTGAACGTTCTAAACTCTAAATCCCACAGTCTTTGGTGGACTGCATCCTAGATTCACCTTCCCTTAGCTGTGTACCAAGAGGTTGGATGCAGTAGGCACCATGGGGAAGGGGCACTATAGGAGCCACAAAGCGGAAAGGCTGTGAATCCTAGGGTACCCTTTGGAAAAGCCATTGGGAGAGGGTGACCTACTACACAAGGGACAATGTAAAGTATCTGGAGGCTTCTGCTTGTGACTGCTCTGAGGCCAGGTTTTCACATAGCAGCTTTTACGTCTATTTGTTTTATGTATTTCTCTCTAATTAAGTTTCTTCAGCTGTTTAAAAAAAAAAAAGTTCTCAAAGCAAGGTCCCTGGACCAACAACATCAGCATCACTGGGGATCTTAGAACCTGAACCAATGATGTGCCTGGCCCCGACCTACAGAAGCGGAATCTGTAGGGGCAGGGCCAGCAATCTGTATTTTAATAAGCCCTTCTTGGGATCTTGTTTGAGAACCACTTGTTTAGCAAAACGGCAGACCCATTGCGCTATCAGAGTCTTAAATATTTCACCCTTGTGCTATTTATGGGTCTGCTTTTGGCTTTAGTATTTAAACTGCCTTTGCAGAAATGAACAAGGTTTCTGTGCCGTAGAACTCAATGTTTCCGAGGTTATTACGCATATTACTGAATCCACAGTTTTAACCTTGGGGGTGAGGAGGAGGCACAGCAGGGCCAGCATGTAATTTGATCAACTCAATCTGCTTTCTTTTTCTAGGTTAAGGGGAGTGCAAAACAGTACACAGAGATGTGGGGAGGGGGGCTCCGGCTGCATTTGGCTCCTCATGAGCTGTCTGTCCGAGGCAACTGAGAAGTGTCCTTAAGACCTGCACCAGCTGGCTCTTGCCTTTGGAAACAAGTGCTCAGAGGCCGGCATGTGATCTGCCAGCAGCAGCTAGGTTGCTCACATGGTTTCCATCTCCTTTTCCTGTCCAAATTCAATCATCTTGCATTTCCCTGAGCCTCCACCCTAACCCCAGGAAAAATGGGATTTCAGAGCCCTGGAGACTCAGTTATGCAGTTATCCCTTAGCCTCCCGGCTCCTTCCAGCCACACATTCTGACTAGCACTCTCCCTGACTGGATTCCAGACCTGCCAAGACATTCCAGGATAGAGGCGATTCCTTCTTGCTGGCTGCCTGGCTCAGGTTGTCAAGCCAGATATGTGAGGCCAAGCACAGGTACCTCTTAGAGAGGCCAAGAGACGCGTGATCCCTGCAGCCTCTGGTGCAGAGGAGCAGGCAACCAGGGCTTGTGCAAACCTTGGAGACAGTGAGCAGCAGAAGACTGCATGTTATGTAAGCGCAGCTTGTGGGTTGTGCGCTGCTATTCACCTGTTGCTAATTAGTGCGCTGCCTGTCAGGACTCAGGCTAGGAAAACATCTTCCTCCGACGCATGCTCACCTCACTGTCAGAGTGAAGACATAATGATCCAGTCTAGAAGGGTTCTGTCCAACAGGAAAATTTATTGAACGATGTGGTATGTTAGGTGCTGAGGATACAAGATGAATAAACCAGGGTCCCTGCTCATAAGGAACTTGTGATCAAGAAGATGGACACAAACGAGTCAACAGTTGTGTACAATCCATGTGATACAGAAAGCAAAATTACCTTCGGTGTACAAAAATCCTGCAGTGCTTTGAAAGTTGAGTCAGGCTAACTCAGAGGTCCCTTCTAGAAGTGTGTTCTAGGCAGGGAGAACAGTAAGTGCAAAAGCTGGGGAGTGGGGTTGGGGTTCTCAAATCCTGAAATGGCAAAATTAAGCTAAGGTTCCCATGCCAGGTACAGAGTCAGGAGGGCTGCTTCCTCTGGACGGTGCCAGCAACAAGACTCAAAATGTGAGTAGGAGAACCCAAGGAGAAAGTAGGTAGGAATAGGTCAGGACATGGACAGAGAAGGGTGGGGAGAAGCGGGGGGCAGGGAGGTTGCTGGGATCATGAGCTAGCACTGAGGCTTGTCTTTGTGAGTCTCTGCAGAGGACGCTTGGGAGCAGGAGCCTAGCATAGAAGGCAGGGTCAGGGGCTGGGCACAGTAGCCCATGCCTGTAATCCCAGCACTTTGGGAGGCTGAGGCAGGTGGATCACAAGGTCGGGAGTTCGAGACCAGCCTGGTCAATATGGTGAAACCCCATCTCTACTAAAAGTACAGAAATTAGCCAGGAGTGGTGGCATGCACCTGTAATCCCAGCTACTCGGGAGGCTGAGGCAGGAGAA